TTATCAGTGAGTAACTATCCTAGGTTTGAATCTCGCGAGGCGAGGTCGTGGATGCGCAATGCTGAGGAGTTCCATACTAGGATGAAACGGCCATCCAGTGCTTCCAGGTTTTTCATGGTGGTCTAGCTTCAAGTGACTGATAATTTCAATCTGTTGAATTTCTAAAATTTTCACAAAACGCCTTCTGATAATATTCATTTTCCACTTATTAAAGGCTTTATTTTGATCTACAGTCTATTATTATACGATTAACCATTCATGAGTTATGCCCAATCTATTAATTACAGTCTCCCACATTCATAGACACATTTGGGTAAATCTTGTATAAATGTTGTTTCCTATTTTATAATACGATTTGGTCTGTTTGGATGGTGTATATAAACCCAGCATGTTTGAAATATCTGATTCATATCGCAGAGGCTGAGATTAGTGTTCTGAACTTAACAAACAGGAAGAAGGACTGATAAAGACTCTAGAGTACTTGTACGGGTTTTATGCATTATTGATCCAGTCGATAAATCACTGTTCTCTAATTGGCGATATCATTACGTTATATTATTGATAGGGACACAAATTATAACAGTATAATTAAACTGTCTCCCTTTTATAAACTATTGTAATTCATGTAAATAAAAGAAACAACTATTCATTACAATAGAATTAATGTGGTAGTAGTAGTAATAGCAGTAGTAGTGTGGTGCGTGCTACTTATATTGATATAAGTAGTATATTATACGAGTCAGGAATGTAATGTCCGGCAGCAGAAGATGAGGGAAGATCAAGAAAGCAAGAGCGGGAATAGAATGCAATTTGTATGAAAATGTAAGAACAATGAAGTCTGAGGCATTTTGAGACAATTGGTGGACATTTTGCAAATCAACGACTTAATATATGTTTCTCAGATTATATTGAGATCCTCTGTAATTTTGTGTTGAATACATTCGATCGTCCTCACTTGTGTTCTGTTCACTACAGTAGCAGTAGTAATAATAGTACTAGTAGTGATAGTAGTAGCAGTATTAGTCGTGATGGTAACATTAATAACAATAAGAGTACAAGGAGAAGGATTATTTACAATGAAATAATCATTAAGTGACTATGTAAAATGTTTTCATTTTTACTAATTATTTTATTCAATTATTGTTTATTATAATCTTTACTTAGTTACCGTAAATAATGTTTTAATTAAACTTTGAATATATAATGATGAATGAGTTTTTCTGATTCTCGAATAGAACGTATACATAGATACATAAAGATTGCAAAATGAAAGATGAGAATTTCAAAATGTACTTTAAATGATTATAATAGTAATGATTATGATTAAAGGTGGCAGTGAATGGAATCAATTATTCGAGTTTACTGCTTTATTTATTTGAACATTTAAATATTGATACAAAGAGGCGCCAAACAAATATGCGACAAATAAATCATTCGATTTGTGTGTGTGAGCTGTGATATCACCCGGGTGCTCAAACCAAAACAGTTGATTTTCTTAGGGGGTCATACTCCGAGCCTTTGACCTAAAGGTCTGATCCACAAGGCGGTGGAGCAACGTAAGGAGATACGGTTCCATGGTAGTCGGTGACCAACGATTGGTTCATACACCAAATGTTTCCTTAGGATTTTGGAACCCATGTGCACCACTGCTTTGAAATCAGGGTTTTCCAAGTCCTCTAGTTGGATCCTCCATATCCTCCAATCCGGTTAAAGCGCTGGACTTTCAGTTTTTGACCTCTCAACTTCGTAAAAAACAACCCCAGTGCGAGAAGGCAGTTAATAGGACTTCCCTGGCAGAGGCTATATACACGTGGCCATATGAGAACATTTCGAGAGGAGATGATTCTCTCCACCCTCGGCCGTACTAAGGTATTTGGGGTCTTACCGGTATAATGATCATATTAAGAATAAATGGTTACGTCTACTTTGTTCTTAAGTTAAGTTTTAATGCCTGATTCATTCATTTAATTGAAAATCATGTTTAATTTATTGGTTTAGTTTCTAGCAAACAGGTAGATTTGTATTTAAACTGTTATCCAATGTGTAGGATATGTGTTTATACGATGTTACTAGTCATCTATCTAAGACGACAGTAATTAATGTATTTAAATGTAAATATTCATGTACTGTGTTAAGATCGAATTCTAGTATTCAAGTGAACGGGTTTACGGTTTATTCAGTTAGATTTGTAATTATTAAATGAACAATAATGTTGTCATCAGTATAGGATTGTGGGGATTGTTTAGTTATGACTGAAATCAATCAATATTAGAACACCACTGAACACCTGGAAGTACTAGACATTCTAGTATGGAACTCCACAGTAGTGCTCATCCACCATAGCGCAACTGGAGTCGAAACCAGGACCTTCAGTCTCGCGCGCAAACAGTTATTCAATTCACGATATTGTGTGACTACCCTCCATTTTCTAACATTGATTGATTCATGATCTCGACCAAAATTCGACAATCTACAATACCTTATAATGATAATTACTACGTGCTCACTAGTGACTAGCTTTGAGAGGTAATTATCGGACTTCTAGTGAGAAGCCATGACAGGTGTAGTTAATCCGCGTGTGGTATGAGGCAGTAACTCATCGAAGGCAATAGAAGATGGTCGCGCAATATCGTGGATTGGTTGAGGTAAGACATTAACACTATTGGTTGCCAGCTCAATGATCTAGAGGTTAAGCATTTGCACGCAGGACCAAAGGTTCTAGGTTCGACTTCAGTTGCGGCATCATGGATATGCACTGCTGGAGAGTCCCGTACTAGGACATACTAGTACATCCAGACTTTCAATGGCGGTCTAATATTGATTGATTCATGATCTAAATCAAAATAATGTCGTATATGTATAAATTATTGTGAAATTTAGTAAGATTAGGAAATTTAATTGTCCTGAAACTATAAACAACCAAAGCGTGGGTATATTTGAACTTGTATCTATTTCAAATAAAATGGAAATTAAAACCTACGAATCAAATTCAGGAGTATTATCAACTCATGTAGATAGATTTAGTTTATAATTAAACTAGGTCTCATAAAATTATTTGTCTATATGGCCCCAATCCAATAACAACGTGATAGATATACATATAAGTAAATTATGTATTCATTTGATATAAATTCTTTCTGAATTATGAGTATTTATTCTAGAATCGGACGCAATTAAAATTGATGACTGAGTACGGTCAAATGAGGATTAATGATAATCTGGCTAAATTTATTACTGATATGTTAATAATGTAGTGAAACATCAGGAAAATTATTTGTCGTAAACTTGTTGAGGATGCAGTGAACAAAAAGTAATTTCGATGTATTTTCTACTTCATTTATTTCCAAAAATAAATGGCAGTCCATTCTGCGCAGTGTTTTGGTTTGGATAGTGTTAGATATCAACACCAACCAACGCTGAATCAGTGGTCTAGAGGTTGTGTTCGCGTGCAAGGTCGTAGACGCTCACTTTTAAGGAGTCTCATACTAGGGCAAAACGACTGTGCAGTGTTCTCAGGTTTTTAATGGTGGTCTAGCTTAGGTCGGTTCATGATTTCCATTAAATGCAATTGAAAAGGACGGAGAAGCCTTCAGATGCTCTAAAGTTGCTGAAGAGATTTCGTCTAATCGGGACCTAAGAGAACCTTCTAGAATACTAACGTGGCATGGTGTGATCAGACGGTTGTATGAAATTCCTATTTACGGACTGGCTTAATTATAATGATGTTGTAGATGATACTAAAAACTATAAATACCCTTGTTTTTCTGCAAACTTTTGACCCTTACCCAATAATCGCTTACTTTGCTTTTTCCATCTTTTGATTTGAGAACGTGGGGTTCTATATATTCGAGTGCCAATAGTTGTATACCGTATTCTGTCCCACTCAAGTAGAGGAAGTAACAGCAACAATCTCTATTATTTCATGCTGTAATAATATTATCAATTTGATAGTCACATAATGCTTTCAATAATCATGTATTTCTTGGACACCAATCAGCAGACTTTTCATCGAAATCGCTCACACTGAAGTCAATCGTTAAAAAGTGTTTATTATGTTGAGATTTAAGGTGGTGGTTGGACATAGACTACAGGAAACCGAATATATAAGTAACAATATATTTGAATATAAAGCTTAGTGACACGGGGCTGAATCAACGAGGTAGCATCAGTTCCATTTAAATTACAGGTACACTTTGCTGACGAGCGCCAAATAACACGAAACTCAGGTTCAGGATTTCTTATCGACTACTTATAACCAACTCCTTACATCTCAACATAATGCAAGAGATGTTGATTTACTTGAACACTAGTTGTCGCATCACAACTTAGACGATAGAATTCTATCAGCACTGGGAAAGATCATATATTGGATACTACTTGGTGATCAATCATTTGTCAGGTAAACAATGAACGAAACTCTGTCTACATTAATTATCGTTAAGGTATGGCAAGCAATAATAATCTCAGTTTCATCTGGATTTAAACTATAGAAATTCTGGCAATCCGTCATCGCAAATGATAATCTACCATGCTGGATGAGCACTGATGAAGAGTCCCATACTAGGACAAAACGGCTATCTAGTGCTTCGAAGTTTTTAATGGTAATCTAACACTGATCCATTTATTCAAATGATTTGGTAAATTTATCGATCCGGTATAATTTTATCGAATATTTCATTCCCTTATTTCTTTTCCTTTCTTTTTTAAAAAAAGTAATTCACTTCCATCCATTTATCACCATCACAACTATGAATGTTAATATGTAAACGAGAGATAAACCATCCAGCTCAGAGAACAAAACACCACCAAAATCATCCACCTGAGCTACAAATCTTCTCCACCATCTCATAAACCCTCACTATTACAATCCCATTCAACAATAGTTGAATAATAATAATAATACTAGTGGTAGTAATATGCTCATCATTTATTCATATTTAATTGGAAAAGTGGTGTTTAACGAGATCAAACGAAGAGACATGGGATAATAGTAGTACTACTAGTAGTAGTAGTAGTAGTAGTAGTAGTATTAATGGGAAAGTTTGATATTCTTTGGAAATAGACCAGATGAAAAATTAAATAACATACAGCAGTAAACAAAAACAAAAAAGATGAGCAGAATATAGAAAATAGAACAACATCTATAGTAGTAATGATAGAAAAATGCAGAATAAAAGAAGGATATATCAAATTGTTCATTTCTGTCTTTCATATGTTGAATTATTGATAAAAAAGAAAAGAAAAGAGAAAAATATCATAGAGAAAGTTAGCCATGGAAAAAATAGTGTACAATGTCGGTAAGAATGACGATATTGTTGTCGTCATCATCATCATCATCATCATCGTCGTCGTCGTCAAAATATGAATTAAAATTAAACAAAATAAGACAAGAAAAACAAACAAACAAGACATTATATTATTATGAACACTAGAACAAAGAACCAATATAACTTTTGGTTACATAATAGAATAAAATAGTGATATTGAGTTTATTTTGTGCTAAATAACACGTATACACACACACACACGTACACACAATTGTTTAGAGAGAGAGAGACCCCCCCAAATAAAAATAGACAAATAAATCATCTATTCATACAAAATAAGGTAAATTAGAAGTGGATAGATCTATCGTTTAGTAAGTTAACATAAATAAAAGCTTAACTATTCATGTCATGATCATTTATAATCAATAATGAATAATAAATTTAATGTATTAGAGGGGTGCAATAGTACCGGTGAAATAATATCGGAAGAGTATTTAAACAAACAAACAAACAAAAAACAAACAAAAAAAAAAAAAACTGGTATAAAGAAGAACAAAACAAACAAAAAAACAATTACATAATGAGGGAGGAAATGATTTATCCACTTTAATCATCATAATAATCAAGATAATCATTTTGGTATTATTTAATCTAAGAGGAACAAAAACAGAAAAAAAAACCCAGTATTCTACAAGGAATATATGAATATGAAATACTTTCTTATTCATGGTAATAATGACGTAATGAATAAACCAATATGCTTAGATATATATCACAGTATGAACAATGTAAAGCAGCTTACTCTATTCCCCTCGTTGTTACCAAGGTGATGTGACTGTACATAATAATCTTTATAAATATGTAGATATTCATCAATTATTTGTTTATATTTGAATAAAATGATTATTACTAATAAAAAATATTGTTCATTATTATTAGGATAATGAAATTATTATTTAATATAATGGAGTTGGTTGTAAATCCCATGAAATTTCATCAAATGAATCATGACGATCAGTAAGTAATTGACTTTCAGATTTTTGTCTTATAAGATGATGATATTTAATTGAATCAGATAATGTACTCATCATCATTAATTTCATCATATTATTCGATGTATAATTTGTACGTGATAATGGTACACTAGTTGGATGATGTTGTTGTTGTTGTTGTTGTTGTTTATAATGATTTGATAAATGAATTGAAGGAAATTTTGTTGTTGTTGTTGTTGTTGTGTTAATGTTGATTTATTATTTATTGATTCATCACAAAATGAAAAAAATATATCCGGATCACTTGGAGAACGAAATATAGTTTGATTACGATTAGTATTATTGAAATTATTCATAGTTGGATAAGATAATTTTCGATTTACATCTGTAAAATGTATAATTAAAAAAAAACATAAGTCGTTCATTTATTGACAGTTTATATCTCTTTATTTACCATTACCTAGTCGGACATTTCTCATTTCGATTATACTATGTTGTCGAGATAGTTGAATTGGATAGTTTACGTCGTAGATTGATCTCAGTATGACGACCATTGAACAGCTTTTTAATCCTGTTTTGAAGCTTCAGAGTAGTGTATACCAAGGACTTCAATAAATGACTAACCTTTGACTATTCTATCATTAAAGTGCCCGTCCGAATACCTGAATGCCTTAAGTTTATATCTTTGTTGTTTCGTAGGTTTTGACGGTTAAAGAGATCTATACTATGCTAAAACAACTGTACAGTGATTTTTGGTTCTCAATTATTGTTTAACTAAAATCAGACCATGATGTAAGTCATGATAATCATATACCAGAAGACAATGGTGGATGTGTCACTTAATTTCGTGGATTAGTTGAAGTTAGACATTCACACCGTTGGATGCCAACTCAGTGATCTGGTGGCTAAGTGTTTGCGCGCGAGACTGATAGATTCTGGGTTCCAACCACGAGAGGTGGGATCGTGGATGCACATTGCTGAGGAGTCCTACGCTAGAACGAAGCGGCCGTCCAGTGCTTCCAGGTTTTTCATGGTGGTTTAGCTTCAATTGACTCATGATCTTGTAGTGAACTACTTTTATGAAGAGAACGCGATTGGTATAATTGGAAACAATTATTATTATAACCAATAGTACCAGTGATTTTTTTTGTATCCTGAGCCCACACCGCCGATCATCGTCCGTTTGGTACTGTCGACTTCAGTCAATTTTGGCGAAAGCTGGCATGATCACCCACGCTCTTATCAACGCACTCGGTCAACATTCTGGTTTCGAACCTGTCTGGCATATGTTAAGCCCCGAACTTGATTGTTATGGTCGCTTCTGGCTTCTTGGCTCAATGTGGTTCCGTCCTACGTCTGTAGCGCTTTCTGATGCTCACCCCTACGTACGCAATCCTCAGATACTGGATACAAACCACTCTGGTGTGGTATGCCAACTCGAGCAGCAAATACAGTACGCTTCTCCTGGTACCGTAATACGTAAAAGACCTCCGGTGACAACTCGACGATCAACGATCGCTTCCTATTGGTCAACCCTTTCGTCCTACAGTCCCAAGAACGAACTCGCTACGTATCCAAAGTATAACCCTTTTCTAGCGGGGGGGCTCCTGTAGTGACCTACTTTTATGAAGAGAACGTGGTTGGTATGATGGAAACAATTATTATTATAACCGCTTGTACCAGTGATTGTTTTACAGTGATTGCTTACCTGTTTGTTTAACTGTACTAAAGCCTTACCTTCTTCCGTTCACTGTGACCTTGCACGCATTCGCGTACGCTACGTGGACCCGCTTGTACTCTTTGGCATGATTTCAGTATTATTTCGATACCATGAGATTGCCAACAAATATATTCTATTAAGACCGTCAATTGCCTTTTGGTTTTTGGTCTACGAACGGATCAAACTTAATATCTAGTACATAATCTTCCTGTAGTGGTGATCATAGCCAATCGCGACTTGACGCCTACTACAATCTCAACCACTGAAATGACTTTAATATTCAAGAAAATCCTTTTGATATATCAGATTTATCGTAATTGTAATGTAGATTTCAGAACATTTTACGTACTTAGACAAAAGACTGGTCTAAATACACTTAATGTATAAATATTGATTGATTCATTTTGGATGAAACTATCTTTGGTTTTTTTTTTTATAAAGGGGCAAATAAATAAAGTATGAATGAGCAAACTATAACAAATCTATCGAGTCCTCATATACAACTCATCAGGTCATTAAGTAATATGTAAATAAATATAGTTAGTAGTTAGATGATTTCAAACTTGTTTCAGGCAACATGTTATTTTATAGTTTAGAAAATTTTTGTTTCATACCATAGATAGATTCTCATTGGTTAGATTATATTCTATTTAGATAAATAATTGTATACTTAATAACCTTAGTCAGTGTTGGATTAAAGTGGTTAATCTTGTAAACCAAGTCATATCTATCATACATATGATTCTATCGTATTGTATTGTATTTGAAACCTCCATGTTTTATTCTATTTAATTTGCAATTGAATCATAATTAAATTGTATTATTGAAACAACATATTCTCTACTGCTTTTTGGATTACTGAGGAGTGACTAATTAGAAATACATGTCTTACAGGAGGTAAGTCGAGTGTTAAGAAGCTCACACTATGAAACTAGATGATATGAACTTGAATCCACAAGGAACGAGAAGTTCTCTCAAGGCTACATGCTTTGTTGTAACGAGTGGAAAATAGCACGTAATCTAAGTCAAACAGAGTTCCCTTCCGATTACCACCAATTATTTAACCTCTAAACGAAGTGCATACAGCATCGAGTCACCTAAACTAGTAGTCATATTGCGATTTGATCAATAGAATTAGATCAACACTGGAAAACTAAACAAACCTGACATCATTAAACCGCGAACTGATTTTAGCTAGACTACCCATTAAAAGCATAGAAACATTAGATGGTCTGTTCTTCCTAGTGTGGGGCTTATTAGCAGCGTAGATCCATGAACCTGTATCCAGTCAATAAAATGTCAATCATAACCGTTTAATTATAGCAGTTATAACAAATGTCTATCATATCACGAAATACATAAATGAAGCTTACAAATACTTATATCGTGATTTACCTTCTGATCATTTAAAATTGAAAACGAACAAATCAATTTCTACACTTTTATCTACATGCCATATCCTATTCAATCGAGTAAAACCTTTTGATAATCCGTATTGCTTGTCACAGATTCTGCTAGAATGATTAGAAATACTTCAAAATTATAGTGTCCTTATAAAATATGAAAACCATACACTAAATACTTCATTTGTACATCTTCCATCAATTGTCTCTTATAAACTTCATTGTCCTTTCATTTCCGTTGTTAATACAATTACTCTCTATTTACATTTCTGTTCTATTCAATACAATTTTCTCGACCTTTTGATGTTAGGCATTCTACATCTGATTGGTGTTACATACTACTTATGTCGACAGATATAAGTAGCATAAACAACAATGGTATCGTTTCTTGTATTACCATTTAATAAAAGATTAGTCTACCTACCTGCCTACCTACCTACCGATTCGCATTATATAAAATAAAAATATATACAGGAAAGCAAACGTTGTAAACTACTTATTATAAAGCAATACTACTTTTTATGTGATACAAATAATTGACAAAACTATACTTCAAGTTAATGGTATAATAAAAAAGACTGAAATATATTATGAATATAATATAATGTATTGTAAGATTATGTAAATAGTATTACTGAAGTGTATAGCGAAGATATATATATATATATATATATATATATATATATATATATATATGACAATAATTAGGTATTTTATTTGAAATATTTACCAAAATACAAAAGAAATGATTATAGGGACTCAATAACTAAATGAATAACGCGATGGCATTTGAAGCGAATGGTATTGGGTTCAAGTCCCATAAAGAACATCAATAAGTTTAAGATGCAAGTACATCCAGTTGACGAGTCCCAAATAGGACGAAATGAGGGTCAAACTTAATACCACTGCTAGCCATTATTTCATTTTTACTTAGAAATGATTCTATTATTTTTAAAGGATTCTAATTTAATTTATATTGTTTAATAGTTATCAAATTACATAATCATTCAATCATTTAATGATTAAACAATTTCTTCTATTATCAATGTCATTTAGTTTGTAGAGTTTACTAATGTGTCATTTAAACTTAAAGTATTTACTCATTTATTTTCAATACTGGCGATATATACACATATATGTCATGAATTAGATATTACATTTCTTCATAGATTTGCACTGACAATTACTACAGAAATGACATTATTGACAAAGACTTACACTTGATATACTGACAGATGATGTAATAATACAATATATTCAATAATCATCAGTTTAATTAATTGAAGTTAAAGATTATTATTATTGGATGTTAAATCAGTGGTCTAGAGATTAAGATTTTGTGTGCTAAATCTAAGGTACTGGGTACGACTCCTGTATATGTAGTTATAAATGGGCACCTTTGAAAAGTCCCAGATTTTCAATGATGGTCTAACAAAGATAGGTTCATGATTTCAATGTAATTTTATAATATTGTATATCTATGTTTATTCAGTAAATGATTAACTATATGATGTTAAGTACTACCCATTTAATGTATACCAATCTGACTGTTAATTGATATGATTCGTATAAAACTTAGTGTATTCAGTTATTCATGTTGACTTTTATTGAGTGATAAATAAATCCTTATTCGACATATCTGTATTCTCATTTGCATCATCCGATTCCTGATTTTATTACTGAAACATCAAGATTTATTAACATTTGCAACAGTGATGACATGTATGTCTAAAAATCTTAATAAATGTTCATATGGATTATTTATTACTTGGGATCATGGGAACTAGAATAGTTCTCGAGTAAGATGGGCAGTACAACAATAAGTAATTATAACTTTAGGCGATTTGTATTTAATAAGTAGACTTAAAACAAAGTGAATTTATTGTTAATATTGAATTGCGAAGATTGCTGAATTTAATCAGAATCACGAACCAACCAATATTAAACCAGCAATGAAAACATGAAAGCACTCGACGGTCGTCTCGTGATGATATGGAACACATGAGAAGTGTCCATCCATGACTTCACAGATAAGAATCGAATCCAGTACCTTTATTTGATTCTACACACATTTTTATTCTTATTTTGTCATAGAATATCAAGCGAATTGATACGAAAGAAGTTTTATAAAGTGTTTAAAAATTGGCTGTTTCCCCCTCATCACTTTTTAAAATTGTTCCGGTCAACTAAATTTCCACTTTCCTAGAGGAAAGTACGTTGGCTTACAAATTCACATATAGAGTCATCTAATCAGCATATTTTAACGTTGAAATGCAAACTCTGTTCAACGAATGTTTGAAAACCGTTTCGAAATGAACTTACTTGCTACATTCAATAAATTATTCGTCATAGACTAGAATACAGTATATTAAACTAGATAAATCAAAGTTTCTGAAAAGAGGCAATCGGTGTTGATCTTAAGATTTAAATTAGAATGTTAGGTTTCAGTATTAGATCGAACTATTAGTATTTGGTAGCGTGGCTTTTATATTATTTCAACCATTACTATAAATAATGATTTAAGTACAATTTTCTCTCACCGATTTCCAGCGGTACACAGTAACTCAGCAGTGTATAATGTTATTCAGCTGATTTTATTCTGTCATTTAAACTAGAAGGTTAACTGAAATGTCAGAATACTATTTCTTGCTGTACAGAAAGTAGAAATAACAGTTATAAAAATAACGAAAGATATAAGTTATGCCTAGTGTTTGTATGCTTGATACCAACTTCTAAATGTTCTTCAGAAATGTCCTACATGTGTACGTCGGAAGGAAGACAAAAGGCGGGAAGTTTGGAATGAAGTTTCACTCCCAACGTTATTTGAAGTATTCTCGAAGCTTCTGGAAATATGTTAAAATTAATAACATGATCAGTGATCATCCAATTCAGATATGACATGAACTTTCTAGGTAGTTTCTGTTGTATTCTGTTTGGACGAAATATTCACAACAACAGTTTGTCATTAGCTTAAGCTGGATAAATATTATGATAATGAAGCGATCAGATAGTTCATCTAGAAATCTTACAGAATGTTTAAAGCTAAATCTAGTTCGAAAAATACGATAATCTAAAAAAACGAACATTAATCAACTGATCACTATGTATTGATCAATGTTATGTTTGTCTGGTATTTTAGTGATGACCGAATTCTACCGACCAGGTTACCATATGGCTTATGAATTAAGTGGCCAGACATTGCGTTCACTAGGTTCTGGTATTAAGTGGTTCAAGAAAGATGATACGAAACCCTGTTTGATTGTAGTTTTGTGTTAGTTGGTAGTGTTCAACAAGGTATACTTGCACTATTGTTCGGTGTGATTCTTCTAGTCATCTAGCTTTAAATGCCGAGATGTCAACAGGAATATTCGGATGTAACTTGAACTTGGTCACAACTCAGTGATCAGTCAGTTGTAAACAAATCAATCCTGCAGAAGGTCTGTCGCATCCTAAATGGGCTAGTTGTAACGTCACATGCTGAAACAGTATGATGAGGGTTCAGATCCATCAGAGATCACTAGTTTCTTCAATATTACCAGTACGCCTTGTTGAGGCGTAATATTCGAGATGAGAAGTAAAATAAACAATAAATTATGGACAACTTTTAACCAGAAAAAAAAAACTAAGAAATAACACTAAGAGTCACTTGACAGAATCAAGCTGCTGGCGTCTCAACTACAAAAGCACTATTTTGATCAAGGTCACATGGTGGTGAAAAGTTCCAAGAAGTTGAAAAGTCTGTGTAACTAGGTACCTGTGTGATTGCTAGTGGTGGAATGTCAGATGAGATTATTTCAACATATAGAGACAGAGGTGGTTTGTACTAATCTAAGACATTTTATATACCGTTGTAATGTTAGTCTGGATGTAAAAGATCGAGTCTACAAAGTATCAATGAAAGCAGTCCTGACATATACTTGTGAAGCTTTACCATTAAAAATTGAGGATGTTAACCAATTATCTGTTAAATCACTGTTATATTCGAAGAAATACATACATTCAGTGGCATCACCAGGTTATAAAAGGTGGTTTTAGGACACTGTGACAATAATCCAACTCATATCACCATCTTGAAAAACCGGTTTCAGTGGCTTCATTTGGTGTTACAAATGACTTCTACACCGTACATTGTTTGGCGATGCTGAGAGTGGGTAGTAAAAGCGAAGAGGTGGAAGTTTCGTGACATGGCACCTGAGTGCAAAAGAAAGCTGTGGGAAACTGGAACCTATCGTCTCATCATAGCTCCTCAGATTGGAGTCCGAAAGATTTTTTAACTCAGTGGTTTGAGTTGTTGTCACATATTGCTCGGGCTAGTAGCCAATGTCATCAATGTCAGAACCCAATGGTAACTTGGGAGCGCTGGATGACCGTCTCGTTTCAGTGCAGGACTCCGTAGCAGTGCATATCCATGATTCCACACCCAGGACTCGGACTCAAGACCATGAGTATTGAGCACGAACTATTAAATTCTAGGCCACTGAGCCGGCATCTTATGGTGTTATTGTATAAATTCAACTAATCCACGATAATGCATGACCATCCTTGCTTGTCTTCGGTGGGTAACTTTGCCTCACACTCGGAAGAAATGAACTCCACTGGTTATAACTATTCTAAATGAAGATCTTCTAACTCCAGTGAAGAGTTTAAGTGGTTTGAATTATTTTTTCTAGTTAGTGTTTTTTTAGCGAGTTAGATTTCTACTGGATGGGTTCACTAACCCCATATCCAACCCTTTTCCTTTATCCGAACTTGGGACCAACAGTGGCCCCAGAGGGGATCCAGGGAGAGTTTGTGTACTACACAGCAGCATTACAGTAGTTATTTTCGAGAAATTAGTTCAGAACTCAGGTAAATATTTAATATATATTTTTTTGTCTCATTTAGATTGATTTGTGATGTCAGCAAAATTCGACACTCAGAACAATCTCCCAATAATGATAATAATCAAGTAATCATTAGTGACTAATTTCATAAGAGGATTTCAAGAGTTTTAGTGACCGATGAAGTCCAACCATGTCAAGATTAAGGTAAATTTTATCGATAACAATGGATCATGATGGAAGATATTCTCGAATTCATTAAAATTAAGAATGTATACTATTAGATATTGGGTTTGTAATCTAAATGTTTAGTACTTACAATGAAACTTGAGAATTATAAATACAGTTTTTAGTTTGATTTTGAATGCATACTACTGATGAAGTGAAAAAATATATATAGACCAAAAAATTCTAGTTGATACATATTACGACAGACTAAGGAGTTCTATACTAGAATGAATCAGATATTCAATACTACCCTGATGATGATTATCTTATTAAGATTGATTTATTATATCATCAAATGACATAGAATACTTGACAGAATTAAACTATTCACATACTATATATATTAAAATATTCTTTTCATTCAATACACTTACCTAGATTTTCACGTAATATAACAGTAGTACTATTTGCAGAACTTGGTTCAGTACTTCGTGAACTAGTTGATGATCTTTTTGATGATGGTGATGATATTATCGCTGTGACTGAAGACAATGATACAGGTATAGATTGTGTAACAGATAAAGGAAGTTCTAATTTACAATAAACATATTGATTACTTTTATTATTATTATTATTATTATTATTATTATTATTATTATTATTATTATTATTATTATTATTATTATTGACAGTATTGTTAATATGATTATCAACAACTGAATAATTATGGATCATTTCAACTGTATCAGAAAAGATTGAATTCATTGTTGATGTAGTTGTTATAGGTGATGTAATTGAAATACATTCATTTGAATTATGTATAGTATCATATTGAAATAATGGTGATAAATTTGTTGGTGATTGAAAATCAATTGATGAATGAACTATAGAAGATGATGTAGATGATGAAGATAATAATAATAATGATGATAATTTTTGATCAGGAATAATTAATGAATCATTATAACCACTATCACTATGTTGTGGATCAGAACAATTTAATGGACTTAGATATTGTTGTTCTGACATATTATTATTATTATTATTATTATTATTATTATTATTATTATTATTATTATTATTCTGTGTATTAGTAGTATTATTATTATTATCTTTTAAATTATGTAATAAGATATTATTTTCAGGTTTTATGAAATTATTTTTTAATACAGTAAGTGAATCATTTGGGAATTCTGGAAAATCTATGGAAATGAAATAGGAAAGAATAAATGTATATATGTTATTTTATCATTATAAAAGAAAAGATTTATAGGTAACAGCAAAATTTAGGATATGTATATCGTCTCATATAGCTATATGGCTATGTAAAGCTGAAGGTCTCATATGAGGCTGAAGGTTCGCCATTGTTGTTGTGGATGGTTCGGCATTGCTTTGGCAAGTTTTGCTGACTGTTCATGCAAAAAATCAGTTCGCTGGTTAACCCGCTTCATTCATACTGGTGGTTGCTTTTCAATGTTCCCGAGGGACATTGTCATTGGGACATTGTAAAGCATGTCGCCGTCGCTAACATTAACGAGTTTGACTGTCGTGTAAGCGGAATAGGTCAACTTTGGCCTGTTCGTGCTGTGCATAATTGATTCACTCGATCATTGATCGGAATAACTATGCATGTGATGTGAATGTGTATATGAATGGTGCGAATGATCCACCAGGGTGCTTGGTAGCTGTGTGGTTGCGCCACACGATTGAGCTGTACTATTCAGATTGTAGCGTTAAAGCCTATACGGTGTCTGGTTCCCCTGCTAAACGGGGTTGAGCTGTACTGTTTGGGTTGTCACGTGAAAGTCCGGATGGTGTCTGGTTCTCCTGAAAACCAATGTAAAATTACCCTGGCCCACAAGGGTATTTTATATAACTGTGAATATATTTATATAATATCGTCTCATTTAACAATCATCAACTAGATTTATGTGCTTATTTCAGGGTTAATCTACATGTCAAGACTTGAACGCTGTATCTTTTGTTGAGCTACTTGGTTCAGATAGCCAAAAACATGTTCAACAGACCTGTTGTTTTTAGTGTACCATTTGTGTTGATTTGAATTATCTTGTTGTAGATATTCTTGGTTGAACTTAGATAATCGTTTATTGGTATGCATGAATTAGCTTATGAGAATTGCCTCAATATAGTTATTTTGTTAAATTAACGATCGTGGATAGATGGATATTAATAAGTAACGAATAAAGAATCGTATGAAGCCTAATTTTCATGATGCTATATAACGCAGTATGCTATCAGAGAAGTCATACAGCGTAAGAACGGCCTAAGTGGTCATTTTGCTGTGCTACTTTTGGATACTCGGAAATCGTAATGATCTAGTCATTAACCTAGCCTGTTGGCTTGAACTCAAGTTATTTATAGATACTACCGTGATAAGTAGCAAGTTAAGGTCCAACAGAAAGGTCGTGCGGTGGATTATACAGAGATGTAAAAGGAGTAAGGTGTTTCATTAAAAGGGACAGTATCTGCAGAGATCCTACGTCCTCAAAACTAAAGAGTGTCAGAAAAAATGCCCACCCCCTAAAGGTTGTGCGTATCACGATGCTCTATGGAGTTTCTGTCTCCGTCAGTTAAGCCTTATCACACATTCAAATGCTTATGAAAAGGTCTCAAGCAGGCGTCTGTTTGACGCTGAATTCTAGTCCCCAGTTCATCAGAACCACAAATAACGCAGTTTCCTGCTCAATTACTTCTAAGAGAATTATCCTTCTGAACCATAGGTAAACGAAAAGTGACAACAGATCAAACATATCTAACAGTACTACAGATTGATACATTTGAAGTAAGAATATAAATCTGAAATTTGATAACTATTTTACTCTACCCAACTTTCATAGTTACCTATCTATGAAATAGTCATAAGTCTATCATTTGTGATAATATGCTTTGGTGATGAAAAGTAACAAGTGTTATTTTTCTAAAGAAACAAAGAACATATAAATCTCAATGAGAACAGATTGTTTATATATAAATAATAAGAGGATGAGATAAACTATAACATGCAACAATCTTCATTGTTAAATGTATTATCATCAATCTAAATTTGTTTAATTCAATATTCATCAGTTGATAAATTTAGATTTCTATGAGATCATGTATTGTTATTCGGAATGTCAGTCAATCAGTCAGTCACAACGTAGGACCAAGCACATATGTGCATCAGTCCAAGTTACCATACCTCATGGCAATTATAAAGAAAAATTAACAATGATAAATAATAGTAGTATCTGAAATGAGATATTAATCAATTAATTTACCAAGTTTGGTGAATACAGGCAACTTATCAGTTTCAATAGGGATTATTCTTTTTCCTATTATTGGTAATTCATGTTTAGGATATTTTGTAATTGAATTATTTCTTCTTGGAATTACACTTGATGAAGTTAAACCCAATGAACGAGAAGAATGAATAAAATCAAATGGAATGTGTTGTGGAGATGGTGGTACAGATGAAATGGATCTACTTGGTATAGTAATCGGACTTGATAAACCAATAATATCAATCGCTGTGATTGGTGAATGATTTAATGGTGTATTATGTGATGATGAAGAGAAAGAAGTGTTTTTCTGTTGTTGTTGTTGTTGTTGTTGCAATTGATGTGCTCGCCTTTCATTCAACGATATTATGCTTGTTAATGGAGACGTTGATGATGTTATTGTATTCACATTAGATAATGAATTTTCAAGCGTATTTGTTCTGATAATAAATTGGTTTACCCAACCAGCAACTGGTGGACCGGGTGGGGGGAATTTAAAACGATTACTGTTATTATTATTATTGTAATCAGGTGAAAATACTCTAGAATTTCTATTCGATGAATAATATCCAGTTGATGGTGTTGTTGATTGATTGTTGCCTAAACTTAAATCTTCACCAAATGATGATTGATTGAACTTTTCATGAAGTATCGGTGTTATTGCAGTTGTAGTTGGTATTATCTGATGACCTGGCATTCTGTAATAATCATGATAGGTATATTGTTGATTTAATGGATTCGATGGAACGAAACCATTGAATACAGCTGTTTGTAAACTATATAAAAAGTAATCATTATCAAATGATTCCATTGCATTAAAATTCTAAAATAAGTGAGAAGAAAAGACAGTATTATTACTAATATTACTATCAATACTACTACTACTACTACTACTGCTACTACTACTACTACTACTACTACTACTACTACTAATAATAATAATAATAATAATAATAATAATAATAATACTGGCAACAACTAGGATAAACAAAAGTAGGATTTTAATAGTTCAGATCATGAGTGGGATTGTTATAGCTTGCTATTACTGATGAAATTCACCTATTAGAATTTAGGCTAAGATTTCTAACCTGGGTCTACTATTCCGTTTATAGACTAGCGTTCAAGTCATGATGAATTACACTTTTCAGCAGTGCATTTAATCTTAAGTTTATGCAAGGTAAGTTCCTGTTGATTCGCTATACGTAAGCTGTTCTCTGTCTTTTCCTTTGTGTTCAGAGAGAAATTAGCAGCAAGTTTATATTATATTGTATTAAAAAGACATGTGCGTTTATATGTAAACATACTAGACCTTTATCACACCATATAATAGAAAATCTTAGTTATCCACTAAGAAGTCAAGAGGGGCTGTGAATAGGACAAGCTGGGAATAAGTGTTTACCAATAAAATAGAAATCATAGTTAGTATCATATTAGTTGATGAGCTAAGCGAAATGGAATATGCAATCATAGTAATCTAATTACTTAATAATTATAAAACCTAGTTCCAGAAGTCCTATTTTTTTTACAGAATTCTCATTAAAAAAGTGACAATATCATTACCAGTATGCATATGAACTATCTGGTTAATGAAACCTCTTAACTAAATACAAATTGGTGTTTGTTAATATATGCATATTATGTTATGATTGATTTGATATAACCATCTTACAACAAGTTATTTATAGAAGATGAATTGTGACTAACAGTGTAATTTAGGATACACTTTTCGATCTGTTTAAGACTCTTTGGTGGGAAGTGCCTCATTTAAGATACTTCCGTATTAATAAATATACAAATATCATACCCGCGAGACAAGTTAGTAGAAATCTGGATTCTGTATCTCAGTCGAAAGCGTTTCCATCATCAAATAGAAAGACACAGGATTCAGGTACGTATATGAATATCAACTGTAGGATGAAGACCTATCCAGTTGACGAGCTCGGAATAGGATGAAAACTATGTCTTAACCACAATGTATGTATTCTCATTGATGCTATTAGTACTAATACAATGAGAAATAATTTTAGCGAAAACTTATCAAGTCTATAAAAGTAATTTAAAGTTGACTATGAATTGTAGATTCGATTTTGTAACACCTTACTGTTATATACGAATGGATAGTTGGGGAAAGGAAAACTATTTAACAGGGTATTATCCTATGTAATTTTCATTGTATAATCATTAAATCCCTTGATGACCATCGTCTTTCTTTATATTCGCTTATTATATAGCTTTCATTTGACTTGTATGTTATATGTTTTACTGTTTCAGATTTATCAGCCATTGATTGATTATTGCATTACTACGTTTTTCTTTTATCATTTATGATCTATTTGTGGTTACATTATAATTTCTGATAAGCTCAGTCAAGTATATGTAATATGTACAAACCTACAAGTTGTTGGTTTAAACATTTTGGATAATAATACAAAGGGTATTTGTTTTCTAACTTGACTGTTTGATTGGACACTGGATTAGAAAAAAGGCTCGTTAATCAATAAGCAAAAAGATCCTAAAGTTATTTTTTTTAAGTAATTCAGCTACCGTGAATTTCTTATTTGAAATGACTATATCAAAAGTTAAGAACCAGAGAGACAGAAAGAAGGAGTTTCTAATATTTCAGGGTAAAATTCAAGACTTCATGAAGTATCTGGTTATCATGCCTTACTTATTTCACTGAGATGTAATAAATAAAGCAATTAACTAAATAAACGACAATTAATAGTGCTGAACAGTTCTATTTTCTCTTTCTCATTTAGTGGATACAGAACATCAAATTGGTATGAATCGACCATTTAAAGTTATCTACTGTATTGTATCGAATCTATCATATAGTTTACGGGTTAATCTTTTGCGCAATGCCAAATCCATCGCAATCCACATTCAGAAGCCTTATCTTTGTACTTTGATCTACATAATCTGTCTTCTATGGTCATCGTTATGGATACTCTCTCTCTCTCTCGGGTTTTCTAAAAAATTTCATTCAGTTTCATGTTCATGAATGATTTTAATATTTGCGTCTCCATTCTATTATTATTATTCGTTCAAATAAACATTCAGCGTTGTTATCAATATTGAATTTCTTACCAGATATTTTATTATATTCATTATTAATTCTATAATTACATGTGTAAATCCTTTGTTAAGTAACTGTTAGCTAAATTGAACACCTAACCGTCATGATTTAAATCCCGAACTGTTCTTAGCTAAATCTGGAAGTATTGGTCAAAAATTGATTGAAATAGGATATTAACTTCAGTGGATCCCGGTTTCGAGATCTAGAGATTAAAAGTTTAAGTGGGAGATCAAAGGTCCTAGGTTTGGTTCGCAGATGAGTGTTTGTGGATGTATGCTATTGAAGAGTTCTACACTAAAACTAAACGGCTGTCCAGGGCCTCCAGATCTTTCACTGGTGGTTTGACTAATATGAGTTTATGATTTAACCTCTGAAAATTCTGTAGCCTCCTTAAATATTCTTATACTAATAAAAACCTAACTATTAGATACGAGTGAATACGTTGAAAGAGTGGAAGTTCGAGAGTTATTATATATACTTTTACTGTATATATTCACTTATTACTTCGCTGATAGTAATTTTTTACTGTCCTAATTGTAGGCTTTCATTTAACAAATTGACTGTTATCATATGTTTCATCGTTCATAAATTACCGTTAATTAATTGTGTACATGTTACTCAGTTTTGTACCATAAATAACCAAGTTATGTACAGATTGTTATTTTCTATTTATCGTGCTCTGTAATCGTGTATTTGGTTTACGATATCATGTTTCGATAATGTAATAAGAAGACGAAGATTATCAGAACTATGTGATATATTAGCGTAATACATTTCGAACAATCTGATCACATATATACTTGTTAAGAACATTTATATATAAAAATAAAAGGTGAACTAGACTGGAAATGGGGTAAGAGGAGACAAGGACAATAATAATAATAAGAGTGAACATAATTTGAAACCTAATCACTCTGAATAATAAGTCAATATTACCAGGGTAGGTTTAAGGTGAGATCAGATTGTTCGAAATGTATTGCACTAATATATCACATAGTTCTGATAATCTTCGTCTTCTTATTACATTATCGAAATTTATCAAAGGGATTAATTGCTTTGGATATCATGTTTATTTTTTGGGTCAAAAATACAATAAAAAAATCAATTGGTTTTCATTATTTTCTGATTCAGTGGCCTGGAAACAGGAAATAACTGTATGGGTCAGTCAGAGTCAGGATACTTAGTGGGCATAATATATCAAGTGAAATTCATTAGTGTTATTAGCAAAGGCGGAAGTCATACCACTGACAACAGTTCAAATTAGTATCATACAACATAGGGAGAACTCGTATTATTTGGAATTTGATCACAATCGCCGAGTTTCTGACTTTTTTCCTCAACTATTATTAAGCTAAAATGTTCACACCCAAATATACTAAAATGTGCAGGATAAATAAGACGGTTGATTGTCTGTAATATTTATCCATAAGAAAACGTTCATCACATTGCAAAATTCAATATTATTTGAAGAATAAATTAGTAATAAGAGACTAAATAATTCCTTAGTGGTAAAATAGCTTATTGTTGAAAAATGAAGAAATCGGTTATACACAATTAACAAGTTAGTTCGCTCAGTACCGAGAACTGATTGAAGTAGGACAAAAAAACTATTGAGGGCCGGGTTAATAATTCGAAATCTATAGACTAGATACGAGAACTCATCGTCTTAGGTTCGATCCCTTGTGGTGCGTTCGTCGATGGGCACTATCGATGGACTAAAAATCAACTGAAAATCCTAGTTGGTGCAAACAAAAAGAGATTGAAACGATTCATATGCACATATTCGCTATGTTGTCGGGGAAAAAGTACTCACCACCATTGTTATTATTGTTGGTATTGCCAGCCGAGTGATGTGAACTGGTCTACCCGCTTTTCAATGTTATATAAGTGTGCCATATTTAACATTTTTGGCAACTTTTTACTCAGAGGATGAGTCCTGCATGTTCGAGCGTAATTTTAACTGACGATCAAATTTCCAACCCTTTCTTTATCAGTCGAGATATGGGGATGCGCTACGTTAACGTGTTCATAGCTGATGTGGTTAACTTCAAATGCTTGAAATAAACGAAAAATGCACGGAAATGTTGGTTACTGTGTACTTATGGATAACCTCAAAAACTGAATATAGTAAGTTTTACAATGATTTTCCCGTTAAAAATAATGTGGTCATTTGAATCAACATACTTATTATCTAACCATGTTTTATGGTTAGCAATTTTCAGTGAAAGCGAAAACGTACATAAACACACATACTCAGAGGCACACAAGGACAAATGTACGTACCATCAGTAGGTATATCATTCAAAATGAATAGCCTTTATCTTTACATACCTTTGTTTGTTTATTCTGAAGAATGTGTCAATTTATTAGCAGTAAATCACAAGGTCTACAAATTTTGTGGTACGATCAGTGAGACTATAATTTACGGATGACCTTTGAGTGACGCTTAAGAAACCTTGAGAATGTCCGCCTACATACTACGGCTAAATGAAGTTGATAAACCAGTGTGAGGAATTAGAATTATTATTTACAGTTGACAGTTAGGGTTAGGAATCTGATATAGGGTTTTCATCACGAACTGACATCAGCTATAATGAAAAAACTCTATTTCGTCAAATGAATAAATTAATTTCGCGCCAAAATTCAAGACCTGTTATCGTAATTCTGATTGGTTCATCCACAAATTATAGTACCACCGAAGACTTTAACGTTTTTCTGTTTAACAATTCTGAATTCAGAAGGAGTCT